TTCCCAAAACGCCCTTTGGATGTTGTCTTCAAAATACAGAGCAATGACCACCTTACTAACTCAAGAGAACACACCAAACCTTTATCAGGATCTTTCATTCATTTGCTGCAGTCACCTGGTTTGATACTGCATGTGTGTCTCAGAACAGACCTCTAACAAACCTGGTGGGTTTTCTTTTCTACCCAGCTGAGACACAAAACCTCAGTCAGTGATTGAAAAAGGCTCTTTATTCAAAACTAATGAAGCATCCTGTATATTCAGAAGTTATGAGAGCACGAAAATCTGTAGCTCCACCTTGTATTTCAAAAAGTGTTACTCTGGTTTATATGTCCAAGACCCTCTTCCCCAGCTGCAAAATGAAACAGGTGTAACTGGGGAAGTGAAGATCATTCCAGAGAGTTACAAAAACAGCTCTCACCATGTGCACCATGTTCTAAGTGAAGGAGAATAGGAGCCATCCTGGAAAGCAAAGCATGTAGACAGTAAAAATGTCATTATGGGAGGCACAAGAGCTCCAGAACACCTGTAAAGATGGTGATGATAATGGTGGTGCTCATCAGCAGCTCTCCAGAGAATCTAGTTTCAGATAAATGAATGTTCTAAATGTTCTTCCTTGCGCCCAGAGACCTGCAAAGGCCTGTGAAACTTGGGAAAATACAGATGTGGAGGGAACCAACCAAACCCTCCTTGAGAGGAGGGAAGAAGAGAAATTGGTGTTATGGTGACCATCATTTGTCAAGAGCTTCTTACCCAGGGGAGACTCGTGTGGGGGCATCCTGAGCTGGGAAATGTGACAAAAAAGATGCCAAAGCTGCTTTCCTGAAGAATACAGATTGATGTGTCTGAAAGTTCCCTGGTGGGAAGAAGAGGTAGAAACACAAACATGAAATGAATAATGTAGAACTACAGGGGAAATAAGTGCCTCGTCATTTAGCAGCTATTCAGGTTTTTTCTCATGACCAAGAACACCCTGCACGGTGGAGGTGGGACAAGCTCCAAAAGACATTGTCAGCCAAGGGAAAAGTTCCACCAAGGAATCCAATTCACTATCAGTGTGCCTGTCATTCATTAATCATACTCTCTTTGTATGAGGACACATCAATTTTCTCTTTCATTTTCGATGCCACAAAGCCAAAAATCTTCTGCTATCAGCAGTCTTGTGCTGTGGGTGATAAATATTTTTAACAAATTACTTGTTGGGTTAGATTCTTTTCATTTTTATTACAGGTCTAGAAATAAAATTTGCTACAGCTACATTCACCTGCATGGACAAATGCTCCCTACTCTCTTCCAAAATCCCACAACTATAACTTACATTTTTAGCATTTAATTTTTTTCAAATTCTATCACAAAATTTTGTTTAAATCTCCTATTTCAAGAGTCTCTTCAGGGATTTTAAATGTTGATATTTCTTCATTCTCAACAGATTTCAAAGTTTGCAAAAGATGGTTTATAGTCATTTGTCATCTATGATTGAAAATGACAAATAAAAATTTCCATATCCACATGCTTTACATAATTTCACTGTCCCTTTAAATACAGGATCGCTCTCATTACTCTCTTACTCTCAATCTTGCTGTCCAGGTCACCTCATTATCTAAGTGGAGTCTTAGCCTGTGTCAATTACTCCCTTCAAGTCATGGACAGTGAATTCAAATAGAAATTTTCCTCTTGGCAGCTCGGCCTGAATGCACACAAAGGTTGCATAATAAAAGATCCTCACTTATACCTATTATTCTTGATTTCCATTGAAAAACATTTAGTTTAATGTTTATATATAAAAAGAAGAAAATTCTTAATATAACAAGGAGGATGAAATATTGAAAATGCAATAAAGAAATCTTCCTTCAGAGTCGTATTCCGTACTCATTCATCACACCGAGTAGGTTTGATACTGCTGGTGCTTTGACAAAACCCAGATCACAAGATGGCATAAGTTTGAAATTTGTAAAACATTTAGAATTTTTATAGAACAGGAAAGTGAGAGATTCATTGTCTTTTGATGACCTCAGACCAATATCTCAGTTTTATATAATAATCAATTATCAGCCTCAACACAGGAAGAGGAAGAAACTCTGTCCTGAGTATCTGAGGCAAAGTATTATCTTTAGAACCATCTGGTTACAACCTTCAAATCAATTCAAAGCTGACCTTGAACATTTGAATCCATAATAAGAGCCCTCATTCCTCTACCACTGTGATCCCAAACAGAGCAGAAATTCTGTGAGCTGCTTTATATACAGGTGAACAAAGAGAGTGCTCCAGCTCTCTTTTGTCAGTGAATCCAATGAGATCCATTTGCTCTTAGGTTCAGATTCTGCATTTAAATTAAGCACTGCATGCTGAAATGTGCATGCCCTTCTTGATTCAGGGGAAAAACTTCCACCTGAACACATGCTCAGCATAAACTTGTCTCTAACTCCTGCACAAGCTGGACTCCTCAAGTTTCTCCTGGAGCAAGATACTGTTCAGTCATGGCAAAACTGAGTTTTCAGACAATAGTTATAGCATTGAATAAAAAAATAAATAAATTTAAATAAATGGCTTTAAGTCATATGAAATGTTGGTCATTATTCTGGAAGTTCATATTTTGAGTGTAGTAAAATTCTGAATTCTTTAGGTAGCACATGTATCTAGTGCATTTGCTATAGTGGAATCCAAAAATATCTTACACTCTTTAAAAATATGAAATTCAGCCCTACCACAAATGTGTATCCACTTCTGGGATGACCCAGTAGCAATTATGAGGAAAATACATAACTTTAACAAATAAAGAGAAAATCCTCCCCAATTTAAATTAGAGGAAGGGCTCATGCACAAACTGTGAGTTGATCGACCTCTAAATCTGGCCAGAGTATTGAGCAATTCCTACAGTTTGACCAGCAGTGCTGCTCCAGCTAATCTCATTTATAAGGCCACTCTATGTCTGATTTACATCACACCTCAGTTATAATAAACACATATAGATACAAACAAAAGTTTGCCTGGATGAAGTAAATAATAAAAGCTGCAGGATAATGCAGGCAAGGTTGTTAATATCTTCATAACCAAGTCTGCAGATATTGTAAAAGATGCCTTCTGCTCTGGAACAATTTGTGGACTCAATTTGCAACCCTAGTTGAGGAATGAGTTGGTCTTATGCTGAAAGGTCTGTAGAAATTAAAGAACTCAACTTCTGGGGAAGAATTAACACAAAACCATGGATAGGTAACGTGGCAACTCTTTGTACCTCTGCAAGTTCTCTTCATTTTTATTCAATCTTATTTTGCTAAAGCATTGCAGAAGAGAAGCAATACCTTGGGAAAATTCAAGAGAATTCTACTTCTGCTACGTGGTCTGAATATCATTTGATAAAATAGCAACTGCAGAATGGGAGTGCTGGGACATGCCAACAAACATCAGATTAAACCTTTATGATATTATTGTATAAAGCAATAATAACATCACCATGGATCAGCTACAAAAGGAGTTCTGTTCAGTGAGGCAGGAAATGCATGTTAAACACAATTCTGAAGTAACAGTAGAATAAATTAACATTTAACAGGAAATATTAAACAGGAAAGTAATTGAAACTCTTTCACAAATGTTTTCTTTCCTTAAAGCAACAACTCAGAAGAAAGATTCGCCCTTGTATTGTTTTTTTTTAACAGTCAGCATAAATCTGTGTGGGAGACTCTTTGATTTGCAATTAACTTATTTTTAATCATATAATTCTTAAAGAAAATACATAGAAACATCAAAATTATTATTTTAAGCATTAAAAATCTGCTTTTACTGAAATGCTAATTTTTGATCTGTAGTGATTCCCTCACCTTAAGGCAAATACAAAGGAGAAAAAGGAGACACTAGGAATAATTATGTCTCCTATCCAACACAACTGTTTCAGCTGCCTGACTCTGCAGGTCATCTCAAGACACATTCAACATTCACATTTCTGTTGAATGCATCAGGAACTTGCAGAACTTTGTTCTCTCCAGTAGTTACTAGTCCTCATCCTTCCAGGACTTAGTGTTTAAAAATTAATCTGCAGCTGCACTTTGGAAAGACTCCTCTGTTACCAGTACTGTAACTTCTCACAAACACACCAGTTTTGAACCTGGTTTCATGGTTTGGATTGAGGAACATTTTGCCATTTTATATCTCATTAATTGATCTGATAAAGAATTGGGATGAGTAACATGCACAGTGAAAAATCTTTCTGCTTATTGCCATCATATTTCTTTGTAATTTTGGCCAGAAAATGATAAAAATGTGTTAAATATTGATTTGTTCAGTTTGGCTTGGATGACTTCATTTCACTTCTGCTTTTTTATTACAAAGTTATTCATAACTCCTAAATGAATCTACAATTTGAGCAAGAGACCTTTCCCCTCTGGTTCACAATTGAGTAAGGATTTGTTATTCTGTATCTCATAAAGTAATCCTGTGTATGAACGTGGCACCTCTGATTTTGCCATGACTAAAATCAAAATATTTCTGAGTATTGAAGGACTGAAGTCAAAGTGGGATTAACACAGCTTGTGGCCTCATGATTTGGGAAGATGCTCACCAGGGAAATCCAGTCAGCTAATGATTCCCCAATGTGCAATTCAGAGCCCTGAGAAATGAAGCTCTGACTCAGATTTTTCCTCTAAGGAATCCTTTCTCTCATGCTCCAGGTCTCCAGTGACTGCAGCAGGAATTTAGGGAGATTAGCTTTGGTAAACTAAAACTGGTCTTTATGAATACTTTCCTTCCCCTGAGGGAAAATATTGCCCAAACTATCATTTCTGTTAGTGCAAAGAACAAAAAAGGGCATTTTAAAGCATCTCAAGTGAAGGAAAAATTTTAATAAACACAAATTTTCTTTGTTTCTTCTTCCTCTCAGTACTTAGAATATTTGCCCAACTCTAATTCACTGTCTTGGTCAGGATGGAAAGAACTGTACATTGTACATAGGAATAGGGAGTAAAATAAACCTGTCACCAGGTTTTAATTCATTTACAGAAAGAGGAACTTGAGCCAGTCGGGTTGTTTGTCACCAGGTTTTCATTTGCTGTAGGTGAGATGAGCCCTCAAGCTTCCAGCTGGGTTTCGTTCATGGCTGTGGAGTCCCCGTGCGCAGATATCGTGTATGTCCTGGGGGCAGAGAGGGTACAAAGGTCATTTTGTCACACCAAGATGGGAATTAAATTCCTGCTTCTGGGAAGTGATTCCTCCAGACCATTTTGTTCATTACAGAGGCCTGGAGAAGCCAGCTTGCATTCAGCTTGAGGGACTGGGTGAAACTCCTTCAGATGCTAAACACAAATCCAGCTGCCAAAAATCCATTGGAGGCTCTTTGAATATGTGTCCCATTTGACTAATACTGCAGAAGGGATTTTGGAAAACCATAAATTTAACACCTCAGACATTTACAACATATATAAACTCTGTATCTTCTGCAGATGAAATGAATCTTCATGCAAGATTATGGAATGATCTGCTACAAGAAGCTGTGGAAGCTCAAGATTGACTCACTGAGCAGCACACCAAAAATGCTGGAACTGGTAGGGGAGTAATATGAATGATAAAATGGATCTTCATATTTCTATCGAGGCACATATGTTTTAGGCCTTTGGAGCAAATTACTGGAATTCTGTTGTTTCACAGTCACTTATGTGTGCTATGATGTTTGTGACAGTCTACACTGTCAGATTAACATCCATTATCTCCTTGTTCAACCACAAAAGTCAGGCACTTGTCTGGCCTATATATAATGTGTATATATATATATATATATACTATATATACACACACACACTATATATATTTTTTTATATATATAGTATATACAGAACTTAATATATTATATATACTATATAATACTTTATATATTATATAGAACGTTATATATACTATATAATGCTATAATACTTTTTATATTATATAGAACAAAATACTTTTCCTCCAAGCGCATAATTAGTGTTTTCAGGAATTCCACAGGTGTGCAGCACAAACTTTGCCTGAGGGTTGTAAATAAAAAAAGAGGAGACTTTCTTATGAGATAATTACACTTTGATTTGTCTGGTTTGAGGCAGGTTTTCTTGATATGAATGGTGCCTGCTGGGTGGCTGAGGAACTAATGTCTCTCCCTGTTGATTATGTGGCTGAAATGCATAGTATTAACAGGTTAATTATGGAAGGAATTAACAAAATTCTCTTCCATTTGCTTCACTGGCAATAGAGGTCATCACCTGGAGGGAACTCATAGGATGATGTGAAAGAAAAGGATTAGGAAGACAGGATTGATCCAAAACCCATAAACCAATAGGACTTTTTTCCAAACTATATCAATGGAGTTGCAGCTGGATCTAAAAGTCAGGACTGTCTTCATTCTTTGCCTTGTACACCTACAGTCACTACAAATTCTCACAGCAAGAAAAATCCCAAATCAAAGAGGTCATGGTCAAACCCAAGAAATAAGATTCAATGAGCTGTGATTCTTGGTAGATCTTAGTTTAGTACTTTTTGGAACATGGAGTTCTTAAAGATATCCCACTCCCCAAAGAAGAAATTACCTTGATTTCTTCAAAGAGCTCTTGGCCTTCAGCCCCCCCGGCCGGCAGCAGGCAAACTTGCAGTCGATGACCTGGTAAATGATGGGGTTGTACATGGCTGCTGACTTTGCAAGCAGTGTTGGTACCACTGAGAACTGGATGGGGACCGAGTCTGGCCGTCCAAAGGCTGACCAGACCGAGACCACGGCGTAAGGGATCCAGGCAATGAGGAACCCTGCGCAGATCAACATTGCCACCTTGTGAGAGCAGAAAAGAGACAGCAGGGTTTATCCAGAACGGTCAGACACTGGCAGAGCAGCACAGAGCCAGGCAGAGTGCAAGGGAATTGCATTCCACTGAACGGAAAAGAAAAATGATAACTTGCTTTTTCATACAAATTTACAATGTGAACAAAATCTGCCTCTTTATCTCGTGCCCGTGTTTCTTTTTCCTGACACATAGTTAATGAGTCTGCTATCAGACCTTTAAAAAGACAGTAAAGTCTGGCTAAATATGAGGAAACTAAATGAGATTTCAGAAAATAATAATAGCTTGATATTGAATTCAAATTATTTAAACAGAGGATTCCTTTCAAAACACAATCTCCTTTTTAGAATAATATACTGACAACAGCAGAGTGTGAAGGTTCTTGAAAAAAAGATCTTTTGAAAATGGGGAATTTAACTGACAGTGAGAATGCTAGTAAAATGTCTAGATTTATTCCTCCTAACCCAAATAATGGATTTTCACTACATTAGAATAGGTAAATACTTTAAAAAGGAAATTGATGTTAAATATTTTAGTTCTGATAAACGAGTTCCTGGTAAATTAGTAAGTGGCCTCCTTATAATGTAACAAAATGTAACCATAAGAAAGTTTACTATAAATACCAAAGAAAAACTGTTTGGGTCCAAAATCTGTGATTTGCGTACTTTACCTGAACCAGCCTGTCTGCACTCGGTCACAGCCTGATATCACTTCAAATGATGCCATGCCATCATACATCCTGAAAAACATCTGCCTTTATACTGCTGCCATTGACAGATTAGTGCTGCACCCACACTGGTAACAGCACATGTGCACTCATTTGGAATAAGGCAATTAGCAGGATTAGAACACAAAAAAAAATCACCAGAAAGCACAGGGGGTTTGGACATTGCATAACCTTTCCTGTAGCCTGTTCTTTTTGTTGTCTGTCACTGAAAGAACAGTGCAGGTGAGCCAAGGATCTCAAACAAAACCTGTTTGTTATGAATTGTGCTGTGGAGTCAAATGGGTTATAAGGGAGATGAATTTTCCATATTTATATTTACCCCAACATTATGTTCTTCAGAGTAGATCCAAGACAGGAGGGAAAATTACTGGTGTTGGAACTCAGACAACATTGAATTTTTACATGATCCTTCCAATATGCAAAAAAAACCCCAAAACTGCAGCCTCAAATCAAAAGTTTCCATTATTCTTCAAAGGAAATTTGCTGAATAACCACCAAAAAAAGGTAACAATTTGAAACATCCTTTTGAAAGGCAAGTGAAGTTGTACCAGCTGTATTGGCAGCACTGGCTGGGCAGGTACACAGCAGATATTTTCAGATATGTTTAGACATAATGTCCCTTACTGCTGCATTGTATAACTCTCAGTTCAACTCAGAAAAAAAATTTTATAATAAAAAAATTTTTGTAATAAAATTTGATCAGCCAAGCAAAACTTGCTGCTTATCTCACTCTTGGCATGTCTTACAGCAGCTGGTGCATATTTTACAGCTAAGGAATCTGATTTTGTTCAATACAAGCCTTTATTTTGAGAGATTTCCTGGCACAATAACCAGTATCAAGGATCATGGCTGTCACCACTGCCAAACAGAAAATAGATTCAATCAGAAAGGGAAAACAGGATATGGTCTGAGATGGAAAATTAATTTTAGCAATTCAGTGCATTTTTATCAGCAGTTCATGGCTGAGCCTAACTGATAAATTATTTGCACAAAAACAATTGCAGTGTCACAGGACCAATTTTGGTTTATATCTTCATTAACAGAGCAACGTAAACTGTCTGAAAGTTTTATGTCCCTGCTACAATAATCTGCTCTCGGTTTTCTGTTATAATTCCTATGCACATCAGTCACCTTAAATTACCATTTACAACTGGTTCTGAAAGCAAAGGGAGTTTTATGGTGGGGAGCAGGGCCACAGGGAGATTATGACTTGTAAGGCCATAGGGGAAAGCTGTGGCAGAGTGGATCATGATCTCAGGGACCCAAGTGTCCTAATCACCAAATTATGTTTCCACTCCTGGTTTTTTCCCATCTTGACAGTAACAGAGAAGCTACAAAAACCACCTTCAGAGCATTGTGTTATTGTCTCCAAATCTGCTTCTATGACCCAACACAGCAAACTGAGGAAAACATTCCTACCTACCTTGGTCAACTTCATTTCAAGTATGTGGCTGTTCTGAATCCTGGTATCGTAGTGAGAAACTTCTTTGGTGGATGATTTGACTTTTAAAATTATTTTGACGTAGGAAAACACAATCAAAGCAGTTGGGAACAGGAGGCAGAAGAAAAGGATGCTCAGAACAAAAACCTGTCCAGCCACTGAAGCCTGTGCCAGCCACCAGTCCAGAGTGCAGGAGGTCCCGAAGGGCTCGGGGGCGTAGCTCCCCACCCCAGCAAAAGGCACTGTAGCCCAGAATGAAGCATAGGCCCAGATTATAGCCAGGCAGATAAATGCGTGATGCCTCTTAAGCCAGGTACCTGGAGGAAAAGTCAAGAGTTACAAGTTCATGTCCAGATGTGTTTGGCACCATGGAATACATTGTGGAAGGGCCCAAGGCCAGGCTGGATGTGGCTGTGAGCAATCTGCTCTACTGGAAGCTCTCCCTGTGGGGCCTTTGGAACTGGATGGTCTTTGAAGTGCCTTCCAACCCAAACCATTCTAAGATTCTGTGAAATATGAGGTTTTTTTGACTGTTTGACTGTAGCCATGATATTTTACGAAAAATCCTTTCCTAGGATTTTTCCCGTCCTGAGGAGCTGAGAGCCTCAGGAAAGAAACGTAAACAATAACTCTCTGCTGCTGTGGAATGCAACAGGTGCATCTTCCATTGGTCCATGTGGATTGTTTTCAATCAGTGACCAATCACAGCCACCTGTGCCAAGGCTGTGAGCAGTCACAGGATTTTTGTTATGCATTCTATTCTATTCTATTCTTGTCCTTTGTAGCCTTCTGATCATCTTCTCTCTCTGTTCTTTTAGTATAGTTTTAATGTAGTATTTTTGTATATTATATAACATAATAAATCAGCCTTCTGAGCAAAATGGAGTCAAGCTTCGTGTCCTCACACATGGGGTGTTCGCCACAACATTTGACAAGAACTTTGTCATGTTCATCTTGGCTCTTTTCAGGTGTTCATAGTGACCCTGAGCTCACGTTGTGCCTCATGAAGACAAAGGCACACTCACATAGAAGGCTCCACCTGTCCTTATTTCAGATCTTTGCTTTAATTTGTGATTAATTAGAACTGAGAAGAGTCCAAACTAAAGAAATCCAAACAGCTCAGCAACAGTCACGGGAATCTTGTCCAGTAATTTCAACTCTTCAATGTCACTTAGGTTTTTTCCTATTCTTTCTCTTCTATGTTGCCTGACTAAAGCTCAAATTCAGTGACTGAAAAACAAGGCTTTACAGTAGAAATAAGATATTTAAGATTTAATATTACTTTTCATTCTTTTCCAGTACAGAAAATCACCATGTGTATCCTGTCAGCAGTATCTGTAAAATGTGTTTTCATGTATCCTTGCCTTTTTTTTTAAGTAAATGCAAATAGAACTCCTGCAGATCAGAACATCAGTCTCTCTGCTCATCTTGCATATGGCTTTAATTCATCTAGAAAAAGTTTCAGTTTGCAAGGTTTTCATCATCATCTACATGTTCAGCATGTAGGACTCAGATAGAACTAACAAATTTAAATCTTTCATTTTTGCAGAAAATTGCAATATGGTTCTTTCCGTCTTGGAATCCCCAACTCGTTTGTAGTTTCTGTCTCACAGGGGATTTTTCACTCACTTCACACTAACATTAAGATTTAAAATAAAACCAAAGCAAAGAAACACCTGTAATTTGGAAGTGTCCCTTTTCAGCTGATTTTACTTGTCAAGATCACTGGAAGGAAAATGAACATTGCCCGACAAATGAAGTATTCATGTATTATTGCTGAGAGAAAGAAAGATGCCTTGTTGTGTTCAGAGGTAGAAAAACAAAGCAACAATAGCACAACTATTAAAAGAGAAACATTTTTAACTACCTAGACTGAGCATTATAAACATCTTTGTTTATTGTTCTCCATCATTTTGTATGGACCACCATGATCAGAGCCCTTGAGAATAAGGGTTTTGAAGAGTTTTCTCTCTCATGAACTAAAATGTCACATTAAACTCCACAGCTGGTGGCATGAATGTACCTAGCCATTAAGTATTCACTTCAGCTCACCTAGTCTGTGAAAAATTGTCTATGATTTGGGTTGCCACTGAATTATTTTGATAAGACTTCTATAGAAAGAACTGAAATCCTGTTTAATATTATTGTTGCATCTAACACTCAAATAAAGAGACCTCCCCTGCTCTCTCATTTAGGGTAAAAGTATGACACACCAGGGTCTGTGATAGCACACCTTAGCACAGTACCACAGCTTTTATCTGCTTGCACAGACTGGCTTATTTACACTTCCTAGCTGCAAATCTTCCTTACAGCTTAACATGATTGATATTTCATGTCATCATAAAGAAATCTGTTGTGTCCCTCAAGTCACATGGGCAAGGTGTTTATTACTTGTAAAGTCACCTTGAGTATTCCCTGTATTTGGATGGGAATTTAGTCCCTTACATTGCAAGAAGATCATCTTTTCTGAACTGTGACAATATCATTTATCTGGAAAGAATTAAGCATATAATACATCATATTCCAGAGGTACAAGATACTGATGGATATGGTGGTAACACCTTACACTGCTAAATTCATTTCATCCTCTCAGGTTCCATTTCCATATTTGAGAGACTATTTCACATTATGACTTATTGCCCATGCAAATCTCTTAGCTGCTTTAAATGGCTTGCCTCATCCTGCAGAGGAATTTAGGCATTTAATAAGGAATATTTTTATGTTTTTGTTGATAAGACCCTGTGATATGTGCATTACTTGCATCTGTTAATGCAGATAGGCCTTGATAGACATCAAGTGATTTATCTGTGGGGGGTTACAAAAACTCATGGCTAAAGCAGACAGCAGAGGGACAACAGTGTTATGGCCAGAAAAATGAATTTAACTGGGACTTTTTGGATCATGCAAACATGTTTCTCTCCTCTGTGTACTCCCCTCTATATGCAAGAAAAGTATTCAGAAGAGCTTAGTTATTAATTCAGTGTAGTAATCTAGCACTAAATACAGCTTTTTCCCAGTCATAAACAATACAGTTATCCATATATAGATACATCTTTGTCTTACCATAGGACAAGTGGCAGATTTTCAGGTACCTGTCCAGGCTGACAGCTGTCATGGTGATGAGGCTCCCACAGCCAAAGAAGAAACCAGCCCACCCGTACCAGCGGCAGCCTATCCACCCGAACATCCAGCGGTGGGAAAAGAAGGAGATGATGCTGAAGGGTTTGCCTACAACTTAAAGGAGGAGAGAATGTCAGAAGCCCATCCTTGAGAAAATCTCCTTTCATCGGAAAGGAAAACCCTCTCCTTTGCAAAAACTAATACCCATAAAAGTGCTCAGTGTGGAGAAAGGGCTTCAGGCAGAGTATGTGATGAGTTTAAGCTGGAGGGTAAATTTAGATGGAATATTAAGAAGAAAATCTTTACTGTGAGGGTGATGTCACTGCTACAGGTTGCCCAGAGAAGCTGTGTTCTATCTCTGGATGTGTTCAAGGCCAGGTGGGATGAGGCTTGGAGCAGCCTGGTACACTGGAGGGTGTCCCTGCCCATGTCAGGGGTTGGAACAAGATGGTCTGTAAGGTCCCTTCCAACCCACAGCATTCTGTGATTCCATGGCTTGTGAGCACTCCATGCACAGGACTGAGCCTCAGGCAGCTGTAGCTGGATCTCATGGCACCAGGGATGAGCTAGGAGGAGCCAAGCCTGCAGAAGAGCTGGAAAGTGGGGCTGTACTATATCCACAGGAACCAGAGGTAAACCCACACTCTGGAACTGATCATGGGCAGGCTCTCCCTATTATGAAACCTTCAGAGCATGGGTTAGGTCCACAGGCCAACACCTAAACAGGATGGGTGATGGTGAGTCAGAGCTTGAAACAAGCACAGATCTACTCAGTCTACATCCCTGTAGGGTATTGGGTGCCTTCAAGCACAAGGTAAAGAAATTTGCCTTCAAAAAGGACATTTTCAAACCTGTCAAGGCCCAGCAGTAAGATACACAGTGAGGTAAAGTGTTGGTGGGAAGGAAAAACACAGACTTGAGCTGCAGAAGTGGTTTCAGCTCCTCTCCACACCACACATTTTTTGGTGCCTCCTAGCAAGCCACTGCACACAGATATGAAAACATTCTAAGCTTCCCTTTTTTCAAACCTGTCAAGGTCCAGCAGTAAGATACACAGTGAGGTAAACTGTTGGGTGGGAAGGAAAGGCATGGACTTGAGCTGCAGAAGTGGTTTTAGCTCCTCTCCACACCACACATTTCTTTGGTGCCTCCTAGCAAGCCACTGCACACAGATATGAAAACATTCTAAGCTTCCCTGAGACACGAGAAGTGAGTAACTATTTTTGAGGCTTTCTCTTGGTGGCACTTTTTCTCCTTCCTCCACAGGTAAAAGTGAGTGCTGCATTATGGAAGAAGTGAAGTTTGGTCAAATGATATTCCATTCTCACCTTAAAGCAGGTTTACATTGTTCATATTCTCTTTAAGTATCGTGACAAAGAGAAAGTTTGAACATTTTAATTATCTAGTTGGAAATCTCTTCTTTCTCCTAATTTTTACCTTTTTCTTGGTCTTAATTAGGCAAAGAAAAGAAATCAACTTTAATGGAACAGAAAACTCAAAAATTTATAATCTAGGGACATCTCTTTTCCAAACATTTCAGTTTTACTTTCCAGCCTGATTTTAAATTCTCCCAGGCCTGAACATTCCAACTGCAACATTCAAACAACATTAAATATTGAACTCCACATTCCTGTGACTGTATTCCTTCCTGCACAGGAGCAGCCAGAGCACCTCAAGGATTTGAAAACATCTCAGCCTCCCTGAGCTGGTTTCTCTGGCTGAACCAGTGTCTGTAATGTCATAGAAGCTCAGGGAATTGGTTTATGAAGAGGGAAAAAATTATCTTGGAAATTGAATTTCCCACACGGTAACCTATTCTTACAATCTAAGACAAAAATCCCTGTTTTGTTGAATTGATCTGTAGGAAAATATTTTTCCTAAAAACATTCAATTTCACATTGAACTGATGTAAAACCATTTTCTTAACAGAAAATTAAAACATTTCTTCCAAAACTGAATCTTGCAGAAAATTACCATTATCTTCTATGCCAAAAGCATCGGGACTGAAAACCCTTCAAAATCAGATGCATTTTTAAAAAAGGTATTTTTGAATTAGCCTAAGCCTGTAAGGAAAGTTCTGCCTGGACCTGCAGGATGTTCTCAGGTCAGTGCATGATGTGCTTTTCTCCAAGCAGAATAAATGCATTTTTAATTTTTCAAGCAGAAGCTGACGTCAGTGATTAAGGTTTCAAGAAAAACATTAAATATGGCAAGGTCTAGGTTATGTGCTAACAATCAAGTCAGCAACCTTAGTCACATAAGTGACTGACAGCTTTAAAGGCCAGCACATTTCTTTGCACAAAATCAAATTTCTCTTCAGCAGCAGGACTGGGAGCAGCCCCGAGCACAGTGTCAGTGCAAAATCAATCTGATGCAGCTTTGAACAAGAGGCTGGTGCCACCCTGTGGAAATCTGCAGGAAGCAGAACTCTTCAAGAAGTTGTTAAGACAAGAAATATGAGGGTTTTGTGAAAAAAAAAAAAAAAAATCTATTTCGGTTTTTCCAGCAGACCAAATCCATCACATTTCTCAACTTAGCACCTTCCATTAATTAAAAAAAAAGTTAAAAAAAATGGAGAAAACCAAACCTGGCTCTGGGAATCGCTAGTTTGTCCAGCAGACCGAATCCATCACATTTCTCAACTTAGCACCTTCCATTAATTAAAAAAAAGTTAAAAAAAAAATGGAGAAAACCAAACCTGGCTCTGGGAATCGCTATTTTTAACTCCAAAATTTAAACCTCAGATAGATTGAGATCCCCATGGAAGAAAGCAAGGTGACCAAGTGGTGCACTGGTAGCAGATCATAACAGAGACACTTCCAGCCCTCACACCAAGAGGGGTCCCAAGCAAGCTGTAGTTTGAGTGGTTGGGACACGGTTTTTATGGTTAGGAGATACCTGTTAAGATTCAAACAATCACAGAATCACAGGGTATTTTGGAATGGAAGAGATCTTAAAGCCCATTTCCTTCCAACCCCTGCCATGGACACCTCCCAGTATCCCAGGTTGCTCCAAGCCCCATCCAGCCTGGCCTTAGACACTTCCAGGGATGGGGCAGACACAGCTTCTCTGGGCAACATTCAGAATACAAAGCTGTGGAAATTCTCCTGAAACACTCCTTCTCATTGAAGTGGCTAATATGAGCCTTACAATACAGATTCTTAAACCACAAAGAAAACGGGAATATCACAGAGGAGGAAAAGGCCGGCCTGGGGTTTTTCCTTAACTTCTAAGTGTTGAGAGATGGAAGAAGAGTGTCCATGACAGAAATGCCAAAGAAGTCATTGGGATTTCTCTGTGTGGTAGCAGTGATATTTATACTAACATCTTTCTTCTATTGAATTAGTGTTTCATTCAGAAATCCATGTTTACTGACCAAAACCACAGGAATTTGCAGGGATGAGCAGATCTTTGGTCTTGTGTTGTGAGAGTTCAAAAAAGCATCAGTCTGGGGAGGCTGAGAGCCACCATTTTATATTGTTCAGTGATGTTTTTGGAGTTTAGATGAGGGCAAAAGCATCTGGCAGAGACAAGGGTAGGAAAAGGGTGCAGTGGAGCGGAGGGCAGAGGTCTCAGTGTATACAGCACACAGGGGACAGATGACCCTGCTAGCACGGGAATATAATTCCATTTATATGGCACTGGGGAGATTCCATGGTCAGCTGGGTCCTGATACCCACTGGATTGTCTGCCATCCAAAATATCCTTTTCTAAAGGGCATCCAGTCCTTTCCCTGTGAGCAGCTGAATCAGTCTCATGTCAAGGGCCAAAACAACCATCCTTGCAGCTCTGGATAAAGCTCCCCAAAGCTCCCTCCTCCAATGCCAGGACATCCAGACTGTGGGGTTGAAATAAAAATCCTCCCAGTTGGCTCATACTCTACAGATTGACACAAAGGCTTATTTTTTCTGATCCAGAGACAAAGGAGGATGGCCACTAGAGAGAAAACTATTAGCTTTGATCAGCTGATGGCCACTGGCATTTTCCAATTATTTGGCTAAACTTGTGTTTTGAGGCATTTGTATCCATTCTATTTCACCCTATGGTGAGAAAACATAATTTTCTGCACCTGTAATACTGAGCTATTTTGTGGTTATTGTGCCAGGGTGCACATGGAAGCTGCCTTTGGAGACCTGCCCAGTGCTGGGGTGAACAGGAGCTCTGCCTGTTTGATAAAATCAACCCAAATTTTGTCTCTGTACTGTTCATTTCTTCCCATCAAGTTGTTCAAGAATGTTGTTTTCCATCCTCCCCTATTATTTACATGCAAATAATAGAGCAGAAATATCTGCAGCAAAAGGCATTTGATGCTCCCATGACTTCCAGAGGAATGTCTCTTGCTGCTGCCAGGCAGAAAGAAGAGATAATAAAAACAAGGGAAAATAAAAACATTAAATTACCTGAAATGCCCAGATCACACACTGCTAAATTAACAGTCATTATCTCAGCAGGTCTCAGCTTCTTTTTTCGCTTTGAGGACATAAAAATAACATACCCATTTCCCAAAGTTGAAAGGATCCCTGTAATAATGGAAAATAGAATAACATTCACATTAGAATCATCCTCAAAAACAGCAACACTCCATCTTCCTTGGGAAATTCCCTGATGTTTTCAGCCTGAACTTGGGTCCCTAAGGCTGGGTATTTTACCCTGAAACTTGACCCCCTCATTGTCTCTGTGCAGCTCACAGAGACCTTGGCTGCAGACACATCCCTCCCTCAGCAAATGCTGCTTTCCCCTCTGCAGCAGGGCATGGCTTTCACCAGCTGAGCCCGCACAGACATCGACTGAATGCTCACAACAGAAACCCCAGAATCCCTCTGCCCTGAGCAGCACTGTTCTCACTCAAAGGTTTATATAGCCACAAGAATGAAATTCAGCTCTCTGTAATCACAGGAACCAGAATTTGACAAATTTCAGCTTTATTAGATACTCTAATCAGATGTTAAGGGATAAATTTCCAGTTAATATATTAATATCAAGTCTTAAATCTTACATTAAAATTTATTTCTATCATAAGAAGGAAAAGTTATAAAATAAATCTGATTAATCTGATTTTAACTTCCAGGTGGAATTCAGTGTATGGGATCCTTCTCATATTGGCTGACATATTTTTTTCCATTTCATCACTCAAGGACCCTCAGGTATCAGCTCTGCAAGTGGTGCATTTGCCATGGAATTAATCACATCAGCACAGAAAATTGTAGGGTTTCCAGTTCCCTTAAAGAAAATGTGTCTTCACTAACTCATGTTTTAAAGAGTTTAAGGTCAGAGTGAGAGTTTTTCTGTGGAAACCCAGGACAGCACAGAACATCCCTCTCATGGAGCCAGAAGGTGAAAATCTCAAAGGGACCATGGCCCACTGAGCCTCACACCAGGTCAGGGGAGACACATCAGAGCGAGGGAAATGCAGAAGAGTGAAGAGTAAAGAGTGCCTGTGCTGCCACTGCCTCACAAAAGGGACTTACAACAGCACTGAGGGAAATGTTGAAGAGAAGTTCAGCCCAGGAAAGAGTGAGGAAGGGCGTTTACCATAAATATGTTAGGTTTAAAGGGTGAGGAAGGGCGTTTGCCATAAGTATTTTAGGTTTAAAGGGTGAAGAAGGGCATTTTCCATAAGTATTTTAGATTTAAAGGGTGAGGAAGGGTGCTTTCCATAAGTATTTTAGGTCATAAATATGTTAGGTTTAAAGGGTGAGGAAGGGCGTTTGTCATAAGTATTTTAAGTTTAAAGGGTGAGGAAGATTATTTTCCATAAGTATTTTAGATTTAAAGGGTGAGGAAGGGTGCTTTCCATAAGTCTGACACCTTTGTTTCTCACTACTGAAATCAGTAAATAAATGTTAAGCTTTGGGGTTGGAACCACACAATGAGAGTTGGAAGGAGCTGATCTTTAAACTGATCCCACTCAAAGCATTCTGTGATTCCATGATTCTGAATTTATTCCCTCAAGGAACCTGTTTGCCCCCTGCAGTAACTGGGAGTGGATCTTTCTGCTTTTATCCTCACCCTGTCTTCATCTCCACTGCTTTTCTCTGCCTGTTTCCTCCCTGTCCCACTCTGAGGGTTGTCCTGAGTGCTTGGCTACCTTCTGAGGTCAACTCCTCACACCACTCCAAAAAAAGTGATAAACTCAACTTTTGATAAGGCACCAAAGTCACCCTTTGTGCTGCCTTGTACATGGGGCTCTGCTGGGGCAAGCTCTGTTTCCAGAGGGCCCCAGCACCTCCAGCCCCCCAGCAATGCTGTCCTCTCCAAATTTTGTACCTTTGAATACCATGTAATTTTCATCTGAGTCCTCTGGCAGGCCAGACCTCAGGAAATGAAGTTCGGTAATTAAATGAGTATTTAATTATTTAGTGATTAATTTGGTAATTCAGTAATAAATAATCCAGTATTTAAATGGGTATTTCATTATTTACTCTGGTCCATCAATGCCACAATCCCCTTGCAAGGGTGCTTTGTCCCCACAAAATCCAGAAACCCATCCTGGGAACATCCATGAGGCAGAGAGAGAAATGGTTCCCAGATGCTAAAAGCAAATTATTTATCAAGAAATATGAGTGACTGAGGAACCAAAACTTTACCAAATTCAGGAGAAAAATACTTTGATTTTGATTTTTTCTGTATTAACTGCAACACATTGGAAACTTTTTATTTTTATATTGACAGTGTTGTTTTCTGTATTATTTTACAAAATAAACAGAAGAACAGAAGCTGGCTTATTACTGATCTTAGGTTTTCTCATCAAATTTTATTTACCTTTGGTGAATTAAATTCTAAGAACAACCTACTCTTATGACTCTGCAAATTATAAGCAGCTCTGAATTATAAGCAGATAGAGGTACTCATATAAGTCATTTTCTGCCTCACAGCTGAGAGAATGAATCTCAGTGCTGTGAGCATTTTTTATATATTTTAATCCTTTTCTCTCTTAATGCCATTTTCCTCTCCAGTGATATTTAGGATAACTAGACTGCCAGCATCCAGTTTGAAAAAACCTTTTAAAAGCGTTTGACATTTTCCTGAATCTTTTTCAACTGACTGGCAGTCTAGAGAGACAACTCTATCAGCCAAGTAGCTCTGAAGTTGCCAAGTTGCTCTGAAACCACTGCTCATTATTAATATCAATGTTTCAGAAAGCCCCAGCCCATCCTAATCCCTCTTAATCCCATGGCTGGAAAGGGTCCACTGGTCATTTGTGTTGCCTGTTGTCTATGCCTGCATCTGAAAATTGCTTATCTGAATATTTTTTAACTCCTTGGTGATCAAAACTCTATGATCTCCTTAAGTGAGGCATCCAATGCTCTATTTCTCCTGCTAGGAAATTACTTTCCCAGCAGTCAGCTGAAACCCCTGATGGAGCAGGCTCCCAACCCTGGTAGGTTGGAAACAGGGGAAAAAGACTCTTCAGATATAAAATAAAAAGGCTTTTTTTCCAGGAGAACTGTCCATGGCACTATTACTTATATACAAACAAAGAGCCAAGGATGTAATAACTAAAAGAGTGACACCTGCAGAGACAGAGACAGGCTGGGACACACAACCTGCAGAAGAGGGGAAAGTGTTTACAAGTAGCCAGCTGGAGAAATAAACTTCCACTTCTCCAACCTGACAGCAGCACTAAACCATTAGAGAAAATACAATTTTTAAAAAAAGGGGGAGAAAAAAGATAGTTCAGGATTTTGTTTTCAATTAAGCTGTTTCATAACAGGCTGAGGAAGTGTGCACCACAGTTTGTAAATCAATAGTGACTTGCCAAGGGGTTTCAGAGGAGCTGACAGCCAGTCCCAGCTCAGTAGTTTGTCACCCTGCCTGGCTGTACAGTGAATCAATCAAGGCAGTGATGAAAAAGCTGGTGGGGGAAGTGGCAAAGGCAAAAGAATTGGATTCTCATAACCATGTGCATAGTCTGATTTTTTTTTCTAGACAATTAGAAAGCTACACATGGAAATGAACTACTTAGGACAAAGGATCATGCACTCACATAGAACTTATCAGACTAGTCAAGAGTCCTGATTTTTCTTCAAAGACAAAAACCCAATTATTTTTCTATTTCAAACTGGAATACTTCAGCTGTACACCCAGTCTGACCCTAAAACCTCTGCAGGGTTTCCTGATAAGATCCAGCCTTGTTCACTCATTGTTCAGCTTTTTCTCCTCTTTGAAATAAATTTTAAACTCACTTGCACCTTACACAGCTCAAGTAGAAAAAGATGCACGGAAGAAGTCCTGGCTTCCCACCTCCTGCTTCCCTGTCCCTGCTGTCAGGATGCACCCACAGGCCATCCTCAGGAGGGGCCTCAATTTCTTGCAAAGGAAGTTCAGTGGAAAAATGTAACAGGTTTAGTCTGAATCACAAGTCACCACAGGCATGGAATTATAAAATCATTTAGGCTGGACAAGACCTCCAAGATGATCAAGTCCAACTTTTGACTGAACACCACCATGCCCACCAAACCATACCACAAAGTGCCACCTCCATTCATTTTCTGAACACTTCCAGGGTTAAAGGTTTCACCATTCCCTGGGCAGCCAATTCCTCTTCCCAGTCATTCTTTCAGTGAAGAATTTTTTTCCTATTACGTTTATTCTATAGATCCAAGGAATATGCAAAACCAGCACTTATACAGATATGGGAAGACCATAATTAGCTCTAATAAAAGCCACTAGTGAAGTTTGTTATGCACTCAAGGACAAAGCAATTAACCAAGTAAAATGGATTTCAAAACACACATGTAAAAAATTAAGTTCATTTAGAGCTAAATGTGGAATATGATGTGTACAGAAACATACAGGTAGAGCAGAGCTACCCTGACCCAGGCCACTGGATACAATGAGTTCACAAGTCCAATATCAAAATGATTATGAGAACTTTTAAAATTATAATTTCACTTTCCTCACATTGCTCACAAAATTGCTCTGTGCCCCTGTGGTTGGCTTTTTGCTTTTCCCTGGAAGTTTTCAACTCTTGTTCCTTGCCTTAATTTGATTATGTCTGTGCTTTTCAAGATGTTTCACACCTGACAGGGGCGATTTTTGGAACAGGATAAATCTACACTAAATGCAGTGAATATAACAAGGTAACACAGTGAATATTGGGAGGATTCATCCATCAGACATATTTCTTGGGATTACAGCTAAGTTTACTTAATCAAGTGAAAAAAGCCCCAAAGAGGGGGTTGTTTTGTACAGTTCAGTGCAAACTTCTGTCTGCAGAGCAACAGAAAAAAAATATATGTGTGAAAAGTGAGCACACCTACAAAACAGTGCATTAACACCAAGAACAGCACTGAGATACAGCTTCACCTGTCACCTCTGCTGCTCTGAATTATTTTTTCCATAAAGACATAAGCAGAAGAAAAATGAGAAAGAAACATAAATAGAAGGGGAATAATAATAAAAAAACTCTGCTACCTCCACTCTGGAAAACATTACATTAATTAGATCAGTTAGAGGAAAAGCAGTAAGACAGAGTAGAGGGGGATGTAAAGCAGTGAATGAGAAACACAGAGGTAGGACTGACTGACAGATCTTGGTATTTTCTGCACAACTCGTTGAACAAGACAACAAATCAAAACTGAAATAAATGTCAAGTAATCATTGTACACCCTGTGTTCAGCCTTGTGAAGGCATCTGACACCTGGAGCCCAAGGTTTTTGTAGAACATTTCTGTCTTCAAATCAGTTTTAGTGAGAAAATTGCTGTTGAGCTGAGAGAAACTGCGTGAAGTAAGATCATACAGCATAAATGAACTTAAAATATATAAAGAATAGAATAGAATAGAATAGAATAGAATAGAATAGAATAGAATAGAATAGAATAGAATAGAATAGAATAGAATAGAATATGGAATATCCTGAGATGAAAAGGACCCACATGGATCATCCACGTCCAGCTCCTGACCCTGCAGAGGACAATTCCAAGAATCCCACCCTGTGCCTGAGAGCTTTCCCCAAACATTTCTTGAGTTCTGTCAGGCTTGGTGCTGTGACCACTGCCCTGGGGAGCTGTTCTAGCACCCAACCACCCTCTGGGGGAAGAACCTTTCCCTGATGTCCAACCTAAACCTTCCTTACTCAGCTTCATGCCATTCCCTCAGGTGTTGAGGCAAATATGGACACAAAAAGACTTAATTCTGCCCTCCTCCACAAGGCAAAAAAGGCAAATTACCAAGAATAAGGTTCAGTTTACCCCCAGAAGAAATAGAGACCAGCACTTTCCTGCTGAATGATAACTCCTTGGCATGTGAATATTTTAAAATCAGTCCCTGCTATCCTGAGTGTGCACTAACCAATAGATAATTATATTTATTCTGCTTGCAAGGTCACTTTGAACCTTGTAAAGAACTCCAACACAAAAGGATGGGGAGGGTGCTAGGCAGAAAATATTGCTCAATATGATGTGTAACAAAGGACAGATGATGCCAGAAGCTGAACAAGGGTCACATGAACACATCTCAGGGTGTTCACTGCTGGGCAGGCTCATGAGAGAGGCTGTGAAAAAAAGCCATAAAACCCAGAATGCACAGTGAGGGCAACCCTATTCTGCCCAGGGACGAATTAAACTGCTGAGTAGCAACCTATCACTTATTAAAAACAATAAGTATTTCTTCACTTTTTGCTGGAACATCTACTGCTAGTCACTTTTGGCTACCTGCAGCAGCATTATCTGTTGATATTAACTGTTGACAACATATTTCTAACACATTATCTCTCCTCCAAGATTTTTTTTGCTAGTATGAAAAAATGTGTAATTAACATCTAATGAACAGCAGTTTCTGCCTCTTTTCTGAGAGCTGCAAGGATGCAGCAGCACAGTCATATTTCAAAAACCAAATATAGAATCATTACCAATTATTGTCAGATAAAAGCCAGCTATGATGTCAGCTTCTCTAGAGAGCTTTGATGCAAAGGGATCTTCCTTTTGGAGATTGTGTGGGATGTATTCTTCCTGGGAAGAATTGTTGTGATCTGATCCCATCCCACTCATGTCCAGTGAAGTGCCTGAAAAACAAAAGAACACAGTTTGCAACAGATCACACCTGCTGTTAGAAAATGTGAAGATATTTTTGTTCATACACAGGATCCATCTTCCCATTTTCAATTCTGCCCTGACACTTCCCAGGGCATTTCAGGATACCATTCAAATTTGCATAAAGCATCATACCATGATTTAGGTCATGACTTAATTTGTCCAATAACATCATTATTTACATGGGACCACAACACAAAAAAGGCATTGAGCTACTGGAGAGTGTCCAGAGGATGCCACGAGGATGGTGAAGGGTCTGGAGGAGAAGTCTTTGAGGAGCAGCTGAGGTGATGTGGTCTGTTCAGCCTGGAGAAGAGGAGACTGAGGGGAGATCTCACTTGGGTCTTTAACATCTTCATGAAGGATGTTAAAGAAGGGAGGTTAATGAAGGGATGTTAATGAAGGGAAGAGGAGGAGCAGGGGCTGATCTGCTCCTTCTCATGGCCAGAGACAGGACTGGAGGAAAGCTGGAGCTGAGTCTGTGCTCCTTGTCTTTGTCTATACATGTGCTTCTCACAATGCCAAGAAACTGGGAATGATCTGCAAGACAGTCCCAGCAACTTCTTTGGATCCTGAGGGACACTATATCTGCAGATGGCAGCTCTGCAAATATCACAGGTGAGTGAAAAATTACATCCATAAATTCTCCTTAGAGGTCCTTAGGTGTTGTGTTCCAATGCAAATAACTTGGCCACAGTTATAAACAACAATTGGCCTTTGGAATTGTGAAGCAGCAGGAGCATTAAACAGTAGAGTCATCTAGAAAGGCTTGTTGGGTTTTCTTTCCATTTTCTTTTGTGTGGAAATGGGTTATTGAGGTCAAACCTGTTAATATAAATAAAGGGAATCCTGGTAGGGAAAAATGGGAATCTGGCAAACACCCATGAAAATCATCCCTCCAGGACAACTGAAGAGGAGCTCCTGCATACGATAAAAACATTTCTGCCATGTTTGAAACCACCACACCAGGAGCTGTTCAGGGCATTCAGACACCCCAATTCCTCTTGCTGGTGCTTGCTGGGGCAGGAATGGCACTCATGAACTTAACACTTGAATTAGGGCTTCCATAACTTTTGCTGTGGAACCTGGGACCAGCTGTGAAGTTCTAAATTTTTCCCCTCAAAAGTCCAACTTGGAGGGAGACTAAAGGAGAGACAAAAATTATTTCTTTATTTTACCCATGTGCTCTCTCTTCAGCACCTTAAAGACAGGCAGTCTTGTCAATAACACAGACCTATATAGCCAGCTATACCCATGTACACCTGAAGCACTCACAGCCCTCTCCCTATTGTCCTTCTAAAGGACAATAAAAGAAAAAAGAAAGATTTACTGAAAGAGATTGAGCCATGAAGGCACACTGCTACTCCAGACATAGGAGAGAACAAAAATCATCCAGGTATATGGCTCCATGCATTATTAAGTATTTAAAGTTCAGCAGCCTCATTGTGTTTTGGGGTTTTTTTATTTAAAAAAAAAGGCTGATTAATTTAAAAATAATTTTTAAAAAGTTCATTGTTGCAGACAGCAGAGCAACCTTTTAGATTTGGATCAGGTACTTTGGTACAACAGCCTGGACAATCTGAAAAGATCTTGTCTTGTATAAAAGGATGGACTAAAGAGTGAATCTGGGGAATAATCAGGATCATCCTGTCCATCCTATCAAAGCCACAGGTCTTGATCCAGGTTCCACCTGGCCTTTAAAAGGATCCTGGTGATTTTCTGTCCCCTGCAGGGTTCCTGTGTGGCTGCAGCATTTGAACCATGGGGGTGGCTGAAGTGATGCAAATGGAAAAGCACACCTGGGACCTGTCAGCACAATCTGGGTTTGATGCAAATATCAGAGTGTTTAAGGGCATGCTCCTCCTTTGAGCCACAGCAGCATCTCCCCCTCCAGTCAGTATCAGGTGGCTCACAAGGACAAAATTTTGGTACGTCCAAGCAGACAAAAAAAAGTAGCTTTAAATAAGAAATTTCAACTTCTGTGTATGTTAAACCCAGCTAGAAGTGCAGACACTGGGTTTTCTAATCTGCCTTAAAGCAAAGGTGCAGGTTTGCCAGACAAATCACAGCCTTGGGACAGGAGAAAGCCCTCTGTGGTTCTCCTGGACATGGAAAATTTTGCAGCTTCACTTGATATAAATTGTTTACCTGCTTGCAAATGTTAATGTTGTGACAAATTATCCTCTCCAGCTGCTGAAAAAGAAACACTTTATCTTAGTTTTAAGCAGAGACAGCACATTATTTCTTGAAAATTTTCAACAAAAATAAAGGGAAATTAATGCCTAATTTTCAAGTATGTACACAAACTTTCCATATTATTTTAAATCATATCTGGTGAATTAGGAATAACTTTCAGATATAAGAAGATAAAAAACAACTCTACTTGATTTACACAAAAATGGTTAGTGACATATAATGCAGGGGGTAAATACTTGATTATGGCTTTAAAAGATATTCATCATCCTGATTAGACAGGAATTAACAGAGCCCCCAACATAAAGCTTTATTCCAGAATCAATCTCTCTTTCAGAGTGCATAAGACAGAAAAGTCTGTAATTAACAGGGCTGATAATTAGTCCTCTTATCATTCCAAGTCAAGAAAAGCCATAATCTTAATCATCATCTAATGTCTAAATATTGAGTTTAAAAATGTGGAGAGGGATAACTTTCATTCTGGTAGGCAAAGCCTAGCAAATGTAGGGGATGTGAATTTTCACAAATGCATTATTTCAGGAACCAAGATCTGAACTGCCAGCTCTGTTGGTTTTATTTATACTTGTATTTTATAAGGTATCCCACTATTAAACACCTGATAAAGGTGATAAATATATGATATACAACTCCTAAAAGTTAATGGTCAGCAACAGGGACTATAAAATATTATTTTAGTAGAAACACGAGTGATCCATGCTTGTACCAATCCTCATTTCCTGCAAGTTCCTGGGAACTCCCAAAACATTTTGGGAAGATAAAAATGGGAGGTGTAGCAACCCAGGTTCAAATTATTGTGTCCTCTTACATGGGCTTTAGACAAATATGGGCACACATTAGCAAAATCTGAAGGCCTTAATCTAAGTTAGTAAGATTCTAAACAAGTAAGAAATCTTAATTAATAATTAATCTAAATTAATAAGAAAACAATTACTGTGCTTATGTTAGTGAGCCAAAAGTGGATGTACCCAACTTATAAGTGACAGCCAAACTGGTAAAAAGTGGAGAAAGCATTCTTGTAAATCTGCAGGCAAATGAAGGAAGTATTAATGCCAACCACTAAAAAAATCTGAAAAAAATAAAAGCATGTTGTAGCTCTATGACAAAAGTTATTTAGTATGGGAAACAGCCGTGTGTAGGGAGTGCAATAGGAATCCCAGAAACTGAACTATTCTCTGATGCTGTCAAAATCCTCTGTGGAAGTTACTGTGGCAGGGATGCTTTAATGTACTTGATAAGAGAGCACAAGTCAAATATTATTTTCAAAGTGATGTCCCAGAGACAAGTGTAGCAATTATTTGTGAAAACAGATTAATGGCAGGGGATAAATGACAACGTGAAACAAAAGATGTCTATGGACCCAGACTCGCCCCCAACAAAGTTACTAGAGCTTGTTTGAAAGATTAATACAGCTAAAGTGATAACACTACCAATTGTGTTAATTAAGAAAATAATTTTCTGCTCTCTGATGACATGTTAAAAACAATAAAACTATTAATAATTTTATCTGAGTTGGTAAAAGACAGAAGTTAAAAGGATAAATCATTGCCAGCAAATATTATCTTTTTAAGAGGAAAAAAGGTAATTATCTCCTAATTTGTCTAATTACATTCTCAGTATCCCCACAGCAAAGCTAGTTTGCTCTCAGTGGCTGCTGGGTCCCAGCTCACACTGTCAAGTGTCGTGTTTATCCCAAATTTCCCCTGGGTATTTTGAGGGGCTCCTGTCACAGACTGGGGCTGTGGAAGCACAGGCAGAGGTCCCAGTGGCCACTGCCTCCTCCTGTCACACCATCCTGCCTGGGGCACTGCTGGCAGAGCCTGGTGACTGTAAAACTCATGTCTAAAACACACATCCCCAGCCAAGCACTTCCCAATGGTCCAACCAGCCCCTCTATTTAGAAAAATCAATAACGGGGATCAGAAATCTTATCTCAAAGCAGCTACAGGGCACCATCCTTTTTCTTGTCTTTTTTTTTTTTTTAATCGTCTAGTGTAGTAAAAAATATCCTTTTAAGTAAAATGGGCTTTGTTTCATCTCACTTAAGGACTAAATCCTGAAGATTCAAGCTATGGACTGGAAATCTGTCCTTTGTCCTCAGTCAGCACATTCAGCCACCAGGCTGCTGGTTATTTTACAGTGAATTCATTCCCACTTTTGAAGAGGAATCATCACTGTGAGTGCATTAAATTAAAAGATTTTCAACATTTCAGGTGTGCACTGTGCTCCAACACATCACATCTCACTGCTGCATTTGTGTTAACAAAGATATAAACCAGCAAATTTGGTATGTCTCATGTTTCTCACAAAAGAGAAAAAGAGAGAGTTTTTGAAACAACAGCTTTTGGTCTGGTGATACCAGGAAAATGCTTCATGCCTACCTGTCACAGAAGATTTGCCCAAACAACCTAATGCAACCTCCCACAGGAGCATTGGAAGGGCAGGGGTGAGAGAAAAGCTCCACTCAGAGCACAGAACCACAGAATGGTTTGGGTTGGAAGGGACCTTCGAAGATTATTCCATTCCAAACCCCCTTCCATGAGCAGGGACACCTTCCACTGTCCCAGGTCACTCCAAGCTCTGTCCAGCCTGACCTTGAACATTCCAAGGATGGGGCAGCCACAGCTTCTGCAGAAACCAGAATCCTCCCTGCCCTCTGTGAGTGTGGTGCCCATTTCAGGCTAAACAACACTCAGCTATTTTAAATAAAGGCCTGGTTAGGTGCTTCTGTTTCTTTTGAGTTTCAAGACTATGCAGTAAG